TTATAACTTTGAAATTGGTCCACCATCATCATTACCACATCAAAAACAGGTTTTATGAGTCCAAAACAATTTAAGGTAATGATTCTAGACCAATTACAGCACCAAAACTCAAAGGTATGCTGTCCGGGGGTCCAACTCGTCGAGTGCATGAACCAACTCGCCGAGTTGGATGAGTTTTGCCTAGGACTCGTCGAGTCCCTTCATGGACTCGGCGAGTCAGCTGTGTAGACAGCATAAAATCTTCGATTTTCAGCAATTTGCATCAAGTATTCAAACAAGCAAGCCTAGGCTCTGATACCACTGTTGGGTTTTGAGCAATCTACAATTCCTAAGTGTGCATGCAACCCTAATAAACCTTGGATCTATGTTTGTCTAAATACATGCAAAATAATAAATTTTCCAAGGTTTATAACCTATCTAACATGGCATGGGGAACATTTCAACATAAAAGAGTTAGAAGAGATTACATACCTTTTGATGAGTTTGGTTCTAAGGAGTTTGAGGGCCAAGCACCAGTAGTGTGAATGCCTCAAATGGAATCACAAAACACCACAAACTCTTGGAAAACTTTGAGAGAGTATACACACTTGTATAATTTCGGCCACACACAAGCTTACACACACTAGTTCACTAGTTACACTAGGCACCATTTCATGCTCCATAAGCATGCTTATATAGTGTACATGATTAGGGTGAAACCCTAATAACCCATGACCTTTCCTTTTCCAAGGATCCATGGGTTAAAAGCTCCATGGATCATCCATGGGATTCCATACAAGCCTAGCCCATTAACAAATGAGTGTTAGCCCACACCATATAAAACAAATAGCCCACAATCTAATTAGTCTTCCTTTTAATCTCTAAATTAATTCATATTTAATTTAAGACTAAGACTAATTAAATAAGATGACTTCATATTAATATATTATAACTTATAATATATTAATAATCATATGTGTATAACTCTCATAAAATTATCCATAAATAGTTTGGATGAGATGCAACCCAAATGGACAATGTCGGGTCGGGTCAAGTATATACCAAATAAGTTATGGACTTAGACACCTTATCCAACAGTACCCACCATGATGTCTCTGAAACACAGCACAAAAAAAATCAAAGACTCGCTCGAGTATTCTTGCACTTGACCACTCAACCCTACTTGTTCCTTAGTACCCTAAGGATTCTTACTTGGGCTGCTTACTAACCCGGTGTTTCCAGTAGTACGGGCCCTATACTACCTTCCACACCACATTAATATTCACTCCAAGTCCTCCACCTAGGATCCCAGATCGCAAGTACTCGATAACTTGAAAAAAGCAGGCTACCCTCCAGTAGACCTCTCATAAGCTCCTCTCTGCTACCTACTCATACTCGAAGTAATTCATAGTAGCAGTAACTCCTAGGCTAAGGCATCATAAATCAAGACACTCTAGTCCTAACTATGAATACCTAGCCTACTCTAGCATGCATAACACATCTCATAATATCTCATAACACACAACATAAGGTATTTTGGGAAATCATCGTTCGGGCGCTGGCTGATTGCACACACTGCTCCTTTCCACTCTTTGAAATCTTTTACTCTTTTTTTAAAAAAAATTGTTTCTTTTTGAAAACTTTTCTTAAATCCCCAGTTTGAGTTCAGATATACCCGAAGGTGTATTCGAATCCCTCAAACCAAGGCTCTGATACCAACTTGTAACGTCATAATTTTTCAAATAAAATTTTCATTTTTAATTTCATAAAACACATGTCATTTTATATAAAACACCATAATAGTCAACAAAGTTTTCAAAACATCATATCAAATCCAGGATCCATAATCATAGCTCCATGTCCAAAATGTGTGTACAATCACGCTGGCGCCTTCCCGTGATCCTCAGAAGTATCTGAAACACATAACACATAACATGGTAAGCACGAATGCTTAGGGAGTTCCCCAAAATACCACATGCATATAAATTAGCCACTCATGGCTAGGACTCTGTAAGACCTTCCAGTCAATGTGTCTTAGTGGGACCTTCTGGTCCTACAACTCTGGTAGACCTTCCGACCCTACCATGATTTTCCTTCCAGCCCAACTATGACTGCCTTCCGGCCATAACTCTGATTGCCTTCCGGCCATAACTCTGATTGCCTTCTGGCCTCAAACATACGGCATATACATATCACATAAATTCACATAACTCATATCAATACATAAGACCTTCCCATCACATATAAATTCCACTCTAAGTAATGTATAGTGAGAAGACTCACCTTGAACTATCTCGGAATAACCTCAGACTCAAATCTCCGGTCTAGCCTCCGTATAATACATAAACATAAATTATTGTTTAATAACAGCACTCATTAAGCTAGACCACCCCCACCCCCTTTTATGCTCTCTCTCAAAAGGGTAAAAGACCATTTTACCCCTTCATGAGTCCAAAAGTCCCTTTGTTTACCGAACCCTAAAATTCAACAAAAGTCAATGCTCGCGAGTATGCTCTGCGTACCAAATCCCTACGTTGGGCGTACTCGTCCTCTTCGCTGGTATCAGGTTGATCGAACCCTACGCCCTGCATACTGGGATTTACGCTCAGCGTACATCCCAGTTTCACTATTTTCCCACTTATGGTCTTAATTAGTTAAGACCTTGGCTCAAAATACAAATTTGGACCCCCTATAGTCTCATAGTCCATAAAGTCCAAGACTTTACGCCTTTGCATGGCTGGTTTGGCTTTAAAAACTCAAAACCTTCATGTATTTTCTTCCTTAAGCTCATATCTCATGCATGGCTAGTTCTTATTGACCAAGATTGGATTTTTATGACCTTATAACACGAAATACACTAGCAAGGGATAGATCTAGGTTCTTAGAGCTCCTCAACTCATAAATCCATCAACTTTTGGGACAAAAACCCTAAAACATCCCAAATAAGAACACACAACAGAAAATGAAGAAAGTTTGAAGCTTTATAACTCCAAAAGAAGCTTCTCACACTGCTAAGCTAGGATCCAAGTGCTTGGGCTCTTACTCCTTCTTCTCCAAAACTTCCTTTCCACTCTTAAGGCTCAAGAACACACCAACAAGCTCTCAAGGGCACTCTCTAGCTACAAGAACGATGATTAGGGTTTTGGATAGATAAGTCTTTAGAAATGGTGGCCAACAATGAGGCTATAATGTTCTTTAAATAGGGGACTTATTTAGAATTATGGTTTCATTATGGGCCTGGTACGCCCTGCATACCAGGCATCCTCTGCATCATTAATACACTCACGAGTACGCGCGACGTACTCCCTTTTACGCCCAATATACTTGATTATCACACAAACTACACAAGGGCTTAAAATGACAACATAAGGAAAGAAGAAGGGCCAATGAGATATACCTGATTTCAGGATGTTACATATGTTTTGAGTTGTAAATGCATGAGTTTTTTTATTAAGTATTAAGCTATTAAGACATGATTTATTCAGTTGTGAATTAAAGTTCTGAAATGTAAATTTTAACTTAATAATATGTTTGTGAAGTATAATTTTTTCGTATTAAAATTTGAAATTATTATATTAAGTTGTGATTTATTTTATTAAACCATGATTTGATTGTGTTAAGTTGTAGATTAAATGTATTAAACTGTAAATTGACTGTATTAAACTGTGAATGGACTGTATTAAGTTGTGAATTGATTGTATTAAACTATGATTTTTTTTTATAATTCATTATAGCCTTCTAAAATATGAGATAAAAGTATCATTATATACAGATCTCATTTAACCTAATTTCGAATAAAAAATTTAAGATTTAAGTTGTGAAATTTTTTGTAAATAAACTTTGACAGAAGCATTAGCCTATAGATCTAAAAGTATATATATGTAAATTTTAAGTTGAGAGCATAGTTGTGAATGTATAATTTTTGTGCATTAAATTGTTAATATTTTAGACTAAGCTGTGAATTTTATGTACTGAACTCTGAATTGATTTTATTAAGCTGTAAAATTTTAATGAATTAAGTGTTAAAATATGACTGATTTATGTATGAATGTTTGTTTTAATTTGCTTGTGAATATATTTATTTTTTTGTATTGTATAAATATGGAAGACTATATTAGTTTTTATAATTATTTTGCATTAAATTCAAGATGAGTGAATTCGTAGGTTTTATTAGACTGCGACTATAGTATTTAAGATGTTAATGCATGACTTTATTTATAGACTTGATTTGGAAAAAATGATAGTTGCGATGTTGCTACACGTGTTTTGTGGCAGCGTGTGATGGTGGTGGTAGAGTTTGTGTTTTTTACTTGTTTTAATTAGTAAATTATTGTAAAATAGTTTATATTAAGTTGTGATGTTTTCGCAATAAACTGTAAATATACTGTATAAATTTTTATTCTATATCAGTTTTGTGTTAAAATATAAGAGCATAGATAGATGAAAATATTAAGCTGTAAAAATTACATTTTTGCTCTTTTTGTATCAGTTTATGTAATAAATGGTAAATATATGGATGAAATATATATATATATATATATATATATATATATATATATATATATATATAATTGCAAGAATGATCCCTGTGGTTAGGTCGAAATTGCCACTTTGGGCCAAACAGGTTTCGACTAGTATTTACGGTCCAAAGGTTTTCATTTTCTTGCCACTTTGGTCAAATTTACTTTAAAGTTTTTTGTAATGACAATTTTTCCCTTGGATTTTGTTTGTTCAGTTTATTTATTTATATAAATACTTTTATAATTTAAGAAAAATAAAAAAGAAAATACATATCTCTTTCTTTCTTTCTTTATCTCTCTCTCTCTCACTCACACTCTCTTTCTCTCTCTCTCTCTCTCTCTCTCTCTCTCTCTTTCTCTCTCTTTTCTCTTTCTCTCTCTCTCACTCACTCACCCACTCACTCACTCTTTCTCTTTCTCTTTCTTTCTTTCTCTCTCTCTCTCTCTCTCTCTCTCTTACGTGATTGTGTTCTTACCCAAAATACACACATACACACACTAATGGAACTCCACTACTCCATCAACCATCTTGATGAAGCACATGTTATTACCAAAGAAGACAAGTTCATCCTTACCAATCGCCGCCCACAGCCACCGAATTGCCACCCACAACCACCAGTAAGGTAGCGTCACTGGAAACCGCTCACAACTCCTCCCTTATGTTCTTGATTTCTAGTTGATCACCCTCTTTCACGTCACTATAAACCACCCTTTCGCCATCTCCCCATCTCTTTCCTTCATGCCTATCTCTCTTCCGTAATCAAACCTAAATTTCGATTTTGACCTAGATTTCTTCACCTTCATCTATAAAATCAAACCCAAATTTCTATTTTGGAAGCTCTTACCTCCCTGCTCTCCCTCTCATTGAGTTCGTTGGAACAACAAGAAATGAAGCAGCAGAAGCCGATAGAGCAACCCCTGCCACCACCGACGCTGCTATTATGGAACCATCGTTGTTGATTGTTGCTGTGGAACGAATCAGCAGAAGCTGCCAGATCTTTCTTCATATTCTTCATATCCTTTATATTCGGTTTCGAATTTTGCAATATTGATAATTAGGGTTTCGTGTTGTTCTATTTCAGATTCAGGTTGTTCGGGTTCAGTGTAAATGATGGTAGGGGAAAGGAAGAAAGGTGCTAGGAAGACCGACGATTTTTTTGGAGAGTGAATTTTCCTTCGAGGTAAGGGTCTGGGTTTTGACAAGATGTTTGTAATTTGAAGAATTGATGATTTGGATCGGTGATTGATTCATCTTTTTCTGCTTCAACTTGTAGGGTTTCTGACTTTGAGTTATTTTGTTCTTGTTCTTAGGGGAAACGGATGAAGATGGAAGTGGGTTTTAATTTGGAGGAAAAATAGCAGAGACTCTGATGTGTTTTTGATGGAGAGCTCATTGAGGAAGATGATGGAAGAGAGGGTATGTTAGTTGTTATCTTGAGAGACAGAGAGAGAGAGAAATATTTTCTTTTATTTTTATTTTTTATATTTTTTTAGTTATAAAATAATTAAATAACAAAGAGAAAAACAAAAAACAAATGGAAAAGGGCAAATCCGTCATTTTTAGATTTATTAAACTGTTTTGGACCAAAACCGCAACAAAATGATAACTTTTGGACTATTGGTGCTAGTCCAAACCTGTTTGGTCCGAAGTAGCATTTTTGGACATACCACAGGGACCATTCTTGCAATTTTGTCATATATATATATATATATATATATATATACATATATATATATATATATATATATATATATATATATATATATATATATATATATATATATATATATATATATATAGGAGGATTTAATTGAGAAAAAAAGGTTGAGAATGGAGGAATCATTCTCACCAAAACATGTTTCCTTAAACTATGCTAAGCATTACGTTATTATATACAAAAACATAGTTTTTTCGTTTTTTTTTTATTTTTTATTTTTAAGAAACTATTTTTATCGAAAAATGATTTTAAATATACCAAAATTCATGTTTTTTTATTCTCTACTAATAGACATCCATATTGATATAGTTTTAAGATAAAATAAAAAATTTAGTTTTTTTATATTTTCAGCTATCGTTATTCATAAGCGAATAAAAATGAATCAGGTTTTTACTACAGTACATTCATTATTCACTTATGAATAAAAACTATGATTATTATTTTTTTTACAATTTAAGTATCATTCATAGATGAATATAACATATACTAAACATAATATATTCATATTTAAATATTAGACGATGCACTCACTTGTGAATATTACATAGTATATTCACTTGTAAATGTTAGATGATATACTCACTTATGAATATTAGATTATATTTTCATATGTGAATATTATATAGTATTACATGGTATATCACATCAGAATAGTACATAGTATATTCACTTGTGAATATTAGATCGTATATGCACTTATGAATAATAGTTGGTATATTCATATGTGAATATTATACAATATATTCATCTATGAATATTACAAGGTGTTTTCAGAAATCTATATAATTTTATATATTATTTACATATGAATAACATACAGACTTGCATATTTGTTTTGTATTTTAATAATCACATGTTGGTTCAGGTGAGAAAACATATTCATATGTGAATATAATGTGATAATTTAGTTTATGCATTTCATCAAACAGTTGGAGTACATACAAGTTAACTTTTTTTAAAATGTGATAAATATGATACTTTGACTATTTAAATTTTACAAAATAGTAGATTGGTAGAGAAATATATGAAAACTTTCAAACAAAAAATGATTTGACCTTTTTCTAACCTTAATTTCGATGTTTTATTTGATGAACGATGTTGAATGAATGATATGAATTGAATTTTTTGTTGATTATCGATGAGGTTGTTCTAATGATGTTGGGAGTATAATTAATCGTAGATGTTGAAGATATGTTCGTATTCAAGCAGAATTGAAGGTGGATTGAAAGAGAAAAAAACGAATGAATTTCAACTGTTATCTAATTCTCCACACTTACGTATTTGTGATTGAAGGCTATTATATCATATTTACAAGTTTAACACAGTGTCCTTTATGTTTAAAGGCTAATTAAATGAGTGGCTGAGAATGATTCTCCCCATTTTCAACATTTTTTATTTTCTCAATTGAACTTACCTCTCTCTCTCTCTCTCTCTATATATATATATATATATATATATATATATATATATATATATATATATATATATATATATATATATATATATATATATATATATAGGGCTATGTTATTTTGTTTTTTACATTTATTGTGTGTTAGAATTCACCAATAGAAATTTAGTAAATTAAATAATTATTTAATTAAATAAATATAGATATTAAATAATTTCCATAATTTTATGTATATTAAATGATATCCATAATTATAATTCTCTTTTTATGGAAACTAATTAAATCCGTTATTAATGTTAGCAATAACATTTTTTCATAATGAAATTGAATCTAGATTTTTATATATGAGTTCGTATTTTGTTTCAGGACTTACTCACTTAAAATATACTAAAGTTGCATAGAATATGAAGAACGAGAGTGTATTCTAGTAGAATACACTCTCATTCTGCTCGATTACACTCTCATTCTCCTAGATATGAATTTATTCTGAAAGAATATTATTGTTGATATTAATAACGAATTTAATTGGTTTCCATTAAAAACGAGTTATAAGTATGGATAGCATTTAATATATATATATATATATATATATATATATATATATATATATATATATGGGTAAAGTGAATATACCTAACAACCTTATATAAGCTTAGATACCTAACCACATTATACTATGTAATTTTATATCATATTTGCATTGTAATCACCCAAAGTTCTTAAAATTCAACCTTATAACTTGATTGCTTCCAAAATCTTTGGACTTTCACCATTATCTTCTTTCAAATGACGTCTTTTTATTGGAGACCCCTGGTGGGCTTCGTATACTACCGTTACAAATCAAATGGTGTAGGAGGAATATAATGGTGAATGTCTAAAAATCTTGGAAGTAAATCAAGTTAAGGGTTGAAGTTTAAGAACCTTAGACGATTGTAATGGAAATATAATGCAAAACAATGTAGTATAATGTGGTTAGGTACCTAAGCTTATATAAGGTTGTTAGGTATATATTCACTTTACCCTATAAATATATATATATATATATATATATATATATATATATATATATATATATATATATATATATATATATATATATAATTAATACTAAATTCTATTGGTGGATTTTAGCAAATAATAGATATGAAATATATATATATATATATATATATATATATATATATATATATATATATATATATATATAATATATATATATATATATATATATATATATATATTCCGTTTCCTTTGCCAATCTTTGCTATAAATGCTAGTAACGATCCTTCCCTAGTCTCTTCCCTTTCTCTATCTCCTCTTCCCCACATCCTTTATCTCCATCTCCATTCTTTGTTCTTGTGGAAGTCTGTTTCCTTTAAATTCAAGCTTAGCAAAAGCCTGTCTTTAAGATCAAATATTCTTGGTCTCTTGTCTTTCAATTCCCCAACTACAATCTGTGGTTTTGCAAGCCCCTCTTGTTCTTTTCATCTTTCGGACTTCCTTGGGCTTTTTTTTTTGCCAAGATTCATGTTTAATTTATTCTCCTTAATGTTTGAAATACATGTCTCAAATTCTTAGTGAACTGTTTACTTCAGGGTGTATGATCAATTCCACTTATTGGCGCAGAACCCATCTTGTTCAATCTTTCTCAGTTGTCTTCCTCTACTGGTTTTATTACATTTCATGATTCTTCCTCTATAAACTAACCCCTATATAAATCTATCGTTCTATATATATCTATCTATATTTAGATCTATAAGTAATCAAATAATTAAACTAAAGCTTAATTACCATCTGGGTCTTGTCATCTCTCTCTCAAAATCTTGAGTTTCAAGTTTCTTGATTAAAGTTTCCACTTTTAGTAATTTTCATGGCTTCCTCTAGTGGCACGACGACGTCGTCTGGTGGTTCAGATCTTCAAGGAGAAATGGATCAAAGGAAAAGGAGAAGAATGATTTCTAACAGAGAATCAGCAAGAAGATCGAGGATGAGGAAGCAAAAGCACATGGACGATTTGATGACTCAGCTGAGTCAACTCAGGAAGGAGAATAACCAGGTAATGTCTAGTATCAGTATGTTCACACATCATTTTATGAGTGTGGAGGCTGAGAACTCGGTGCTGAGAGCTCAGGTGGCGGAGCTCAGCCATCGGCTTCACTCTCTCAATGAGATTATTGCCGTCATGAAACAACCAATCGACGCCGGAAGTGGGTTTGCGGAGGAACAGTACGTCGGAAGTGACACTGAGTTCGGCGACGAGTTTATCAACAACTCACTGAGTTTCCTTTACGCGTGTCAACCTATCTTGGCTTCTGCTGACATGATTATGTACTGAGTTGAAAGAAGCTTAGGAGGAAGGGATAAAGTTGTCACTTTCTAAATTTATAAGGTCAAGGTGGTAATTTTAGCATGAAATTCGGAAACATCATTGATGGAATTGATTGAATGATGGGATCAAAATATTGGCATTTATAGGGGGTAGGGGGAGGGGGTATGTGTATGTAATCATTAGGATGTTGATGTTTGATTTGTAAGTTTGTATCTCTAATGTATGAGATTGATAATGATATAATTAAGTTCTATATAATGTGTAGTCGGTTGTTGTTATTCAGATAATTTTTATTTTTCTGATGTACGATATTTTATATATTTGTACTCGAAGCATTAAGCATGCATATGTGGGAATTTTGAACTACGTGTTTTTAATTGATTTCCATATAATTTAGTTAAATCAATTCATTACTTATGATTGAAACATCCAATGACGAAAGAATAACACACATGTTGTCTCTAATACATGTGTAGTTTTTATGTAATACTCAAGTCTTCAATTTTATAAACTCTATAAAATTATTTGTTCATATCATGTTGAATTTAGAAAAAATATCTATTTATCATGAAATCAAGCTTGAATATTTCATTGATTCCGTTTGGAATCGAGTATTGCAGATTGTCAAAAAGCTGATAAATTATTATAAATTCTTCAATTTATCTCGAATTATATAGAGTATTACAACACAAATTTGTCCCCTTGTGATCTTATGCCCTTATGGTCATGATGATCTTATTATTAGTAGTATTTTGTTTAAGTTATATTCTTAATTGGTGCAATTTTCATTGGGTGATTCTTTCAATATAAAACACAGAGCTAAAATATACTGAATTACCAATAAATAAATCACTAACATTAGGCGGTGTATTTTTCGAAAAGAGTTATTCCTGTAATTCTAAAAAAAAAAAAGGAAAAAAACTCTTATAATTATTTGATTATTTTCAGGTACTTTTGATTTTATTTTAAGACGTTGGTTTTTTTATATAATTTTACTTTAGCTGAGTTTTTAAATAGTTTTATTTTAATCTAAATTTGTAAGAGGTCACGCTCTATTGAATTACTTAAAACTAACTATAACAACTTTATGTCATTAAAATCAATATATATATATATATATATATATATATATATATATATATATATATATATATATATATATATATATATATATATATATATATATATATATATATATATATATATAGGGCATAGGAAATATGTGGCTGTTATGTATTTAATATTAGGTATAGAACCATCATAAACTATATAGGTTTAACAAAATGCAATCAAATCTCTCTACCATCTTTTTTGTATCCTATATAAGACTAGATGAGACGCTTAGTACATATTTTTATGGAGTTTTAAATATTTAATTTTGCACCAAAAACCATGTATAAGATTACATTATCAACTATACCTATAAGTCTTCATATCAAAATTTAATATAGAAAATTATAGTGAAAGATTGAAATTGTTCATTAAAAACTCATTATAATAATTCTCATAACACATCAAAAAGAACCATGCAAATTTACATATGGTAGGTGTTAAAGAAAACTATGAAGCCTACTAGAGGTCTAATATAAGCAACACATTCTGAATGCATAGATGTTGGGGATAAATTATGAAATTAAAAATAATATGACATCAAAGGCAATAGGAAGAAGCTAAAAATGAAAAAAAAAAAAAAAAAAAAAAAAGAGTTTTTATAATCAAAATGAAGTCTATTTTGATGGTTCTATACCTAATATTACATACATGATAGCCACATATTCACTTTTCCCATATATATATATATATATATATATATATATATATATATATATATATATATATATATATATATATATATATATATATATATATATATATCAATTAATTAATTAATTAACTAACGTATTTAGCACATGAAATCAGGTTGCCCGTGCAAGAAGCATGACACAAAGCCATGTGAAGAGGATCATTAAGGAATCATTAGATTCCGTTTCTACCCCTAATTTTACCCTTTAGTTAAAGAAATAATAATAACAAAATGGCCTTCCGTTTAGCAGTACCAAGTTGTTTGTTAACAAATATTGAAATATGTTTTATTTTATTTTATTTTATTTTTTGAACTTTTTTTTGGTTAAGGGTTAAGTCCTGCTATGGAAAAAAAAAGTAATTTAGTACGTGTTAATTAACGGTTAAAAAAATTGTTACATAATTACTATAAACTCGGTTTCACACCTACATCAAAATGGTAAACCATAACATTACAAAAATATAGATGATTATTATATATATAGATTTTTTTTTTGGAATCAGACAAATAGACATAAAAATCAATCCTTTAAGGGGGCGTTTGTTTCGCAGAATGTTTTTTGAAGGAATGAAATTTGTCCAAAGAATTGGAATCCAAAGGAATTAGAATTTGAATGTGATAGAAGTTGAAATGCATTTGGAGGACAATGAATGAAATCTGTTTTTTAATTTGCTAATTTTACAAAGAAATTAGAAAACAAATTTTATAATATGACAGAAATACCATTTATATTTTTTAATAAACAAGACAAAGTTTTATTTAATTACAACATCTTTTATTAAACTATTCTATAAAATATAAATTAAAAAAATAAATAACATTTCGTTGAACACAATTAAATAATAAAAATATTTTTTAAATTGAAATAAAATTATTATATATCATAATATAAAGCAACAAATCATTTATTATATAATAAATATAAAATACGTAGATGATATTTGTTACCAAAATCTTACATAGGAGGATAATTGTGCGATCCAAAAAAGAAAATATAATAAAATAAGCAGTTGAATGTAAATTCTTGATGCATGGGGAATGAATTGAAAATCTTTCATATAGGGAATTATAAAGTAATTATGGAAATTATATTCCATGCCTTTTGTATACCAAACACATTTTGTATTGGATTTTAGTTTATAATTCCTTAGGAATCCAACGAAACAAACGACCCCTAAGTCTCTTTTGTCACATATAGTTATATGTTTTAATCATTTTATTGACATAAATATCATTAATTAAATTATTTATCGTTTTAATTTGATATTCCGATTCTAGGTGAACAAACTGTTTTAATATTTAGCCTTTAAATGAGAATTTATGGTGATTCGTGAAATTAAGAATTATAGGGGGTTAGTTGTGAAAATTGAAATATAGATTTATAAGATGGACGCATGCATATGAACCATGTAACTCAGGGGTCTAATTTGGATTCAGTTCATTTCTAGCAATCGTGAGTCCAATATAAACAAATCTTATTATTCAATTAAATAGTGATATGTTAATATATTAATATGATACATGTCTTCATTAATATATTAATATGATACATATCTTCATTAATCTTTCTGCTTATAGTTTCTCCAAATCCAAAAACTCACACCAAAATTAAAATTTACAAAAATTTACATTTTAAAAGTAATCCAAAAACACACACCAAAATTAAAATTTACAAAAATTTACATTTTAAAAAATGGGCTAAAAATTAAAAAATGACTATTAACAGGCACCGCCATTTTGTTGTATGGTAATCAAAGTTAAATGATAATATATTTAAGTTATGTTTTTTATTATAATGTAGACCTTGATCACATGCAAAAATTGCCCAGACATAAGAAAAAGAGCAACTTGGTACTCCTTGCAAGCTTTTGCTCCATGTGGGAATCTTTTTTAATGCCAAATAATTCACAAACATCAAACGAAAGTTGATTTATTTGTCATGCATTAAAAATTGCACATTCTTTCGTAAAAGGAGTCTAGCTCCTTGACATTCCATAGGAAATCATTGTGCATTATAGCAAATCATTGACATATCAGTAACAATAATGTTGTGAGATGGTTTGTATCTTTTGCAATAATGGTTGTATATTGCTCCAACAAAGAAGGCCTAGTGGTTTCCTTGGAAGGAAGTGTCAAATGTGACTACTAGTTGTACATTGTTTTTCCTAGGGATGAGCATCGGAACCGGGTACCCGCTTTTGGAACCGGAACCGCCTTAGGCGGTTCCGGTTCCGGTTCCTAAAGTTATGGAACCGCCTTAAGCGGTTCCGGTTTCAGTTTTCATTTTTTCGGAACCGCTACCTGCTGGGTACCCGTCGGAACCGGTTTATATATATATATATATATATATATATATATATATATATATATATATATATATATATATATATATATATATATATATATATATATAAAATTTCATATAAAGGTGTGTTACTGAGACCAGTTTTGGAATATATTGGTCCGATTTTGTCTGTCTTTGAATTGATTTGATTTGGATCGAACTAAATTGCGGTTTTATCGAAAAAAGTTAACAAAATTAATGCGATCGGGTTACCCGCTCCCGGAACCAGAACCGCCGGTTCCGGGACTGGTTCCAAACATTTAAGAACCGCCTAGAGCGGTTCCGGTTCCGGTTCTAACTTTCTCGGAACCGCCGGTTCCGGTTCTCGCCATATGAGGTGGGTACCCGCCTACGCTCATCCCTAGTTTTTCCTAATGTGTCGGATGGAGGTACAAAACATGAAAACACTGTTACAAATTCACTAATCGCACCAGAAAAAGGTATAGCTTTATAATGTGAATCACAAAATAAGAAATTGGTACTCGTTATACATTTTTATCATAAGAGAACCATTTTTTTTAGAGCAAATAATCGAAAAAATGACATTATAGTACATTAAAGTTTCGTTATTTATCCGATTTGGTAACTAAAGTTATTTTTGTGCAATAAACCACTAAACTCGTATTTGACCTATCAATTAAGCCATTTTTTCCAATTTTAAAAAGTTTACGGGTCATTTTAATTACATATCATTTAATATTTACTTTTGGAGAGAAAAATATTTCACCTCATCTCTACTCTTTCTAATAAACTTATATATTTGGTCCTTCCATGACCCACCACCATACACCCATTCCTTCACACTGACTTTCATCATCTCTTTCTTCTTTGTGAGCTACTAAGCCTCAAGCCCTTCCC